GTGCTTGTGTGTGTGATGTACTGCTGTTCCCCAAGAGGACCTGCTTAGCGCCCACTCTGGGCCTCGGTTGCCGGTCCTCGGGAAAAGGCGGTAGGATGGGCTTGGGAGGCGTGCTGGGGCGTGTTGCTGGCTCCAATGGCCAGAGGCTGGCACTTCACTGAGTGCTGGCCAGATGTGTCTCCAGAAGCAAGCTCCTACCTCCTCCTCATCCTGCCCATCTGGTGTGAAGCCAGCTCAGATTGGGTGACTAGGCATGGGGTTGGGCGCCCAGGTGAGGAGGCAGCAGTAGGGTCTGCTCCTCTGAAACAGCAGAGTGCACATGTGGGGACGGGTCCCAGAGGATGCTCCGTTGGTGTGGAAGCAGCTGGGCCAGGGCCTAATTTCCAAGTGAGGGCTGCAGGGGCCTCTGAGGGCTGGTGCCCAGACAGGCCCGGCCCCTAACAGCACCTGAGGCCTGGAGCCACGTGTGCCTCTGTGCGCGAGTGAGTGTGCCTGGGAGTCGGGGCCTGTGTCTGTGCTCTCACGTGTTTCGGGGCTTACATATCTCTGTTTCACGCATGTGACCGGAGCAGCCGTACTGTTAAGCTCCAGGACCGTCACTTCCACGGGCCCCTTCTAAGGCTCTGTCTCTAATTTGTATTCATAGTTTTCATCTTCTTTTTTTGAAAAACAGCCCCCCTTTTCCCACTGAATAAACATGAGAACCAACAAAAGTGGAGTCTACCCCTGGCATATTTATATCATACGTCACCCGTTTATCATGGCTGTGTCTGTGTCTCCCTCCCGCCCTCGCTGCTTCTCTTCCTTGATCCTTCCCTCCCTCTCTCCCTCCTTCCTCTCTTCCTTCAATACTGTGTTCCAGCAACTTCCCCTTCTGGGGAAGAGGAACAGCAACGAAGAAGACACTGCATTCCAGAGAGGCTCGGGGATGCACAGGAGCACACTGCGGGGCACCCCCCTTCATCCGGGGACAATTAGGAGAACCGAGACAGGAAGAATTGCAGGGGTGGCCCGATGTGGGCTGGGGGCACAGAGCCTTGCGCTGTGCGTGTGTGTTTGTGAGCATGTGCAGTGTGTGTCTGTACTTGCCTGTGCATTTGTGTGTGCATCTGGGTGTGAGGCAGGGGGTGTGTGCCTGTAGCTGTGGGGTGTTTGTGTCTTTCTCTGTGTGTGCCTCTGAGGGAGAACCTGAGTGATGGAGGCCAGGCAGCACTGTGGGCTGATGAGTTCCCAAGGCTGTGGGATTCCCTCAGGGCCAGCCTTCGGGGGCAGAGCAAATCCCTGGGGGAAGCCCAGAGACAAGAGTGATGATTTCATCCTGCCTTGGGTGTCCAAACATCCCCAACAGTCTTGAGAGGCCCTGCCAACCTTGTCTGACTGAGGCTGAGGCCAGAGGCTCTAAAAGTTGTACCAGGGGCTCTAACAGATGCAGTGATTTCTCTTCCTTTGGGCACCACCTGGTCAGATTGGACCAGCTCCTTGATTTGGGGGATGGATGGATGGTAGGGTGCAGGTGGCCAAGCCTGAGTATCAGGTTTCCATGGTGACAGGCCCTGGGAGTGCTCCAGGTCAACAAGACGTCTGCAGGCAGTACTGGGGACAGCGTCAGTCTTCAAACCCAAATCACGCCTGTTACAGAGTTGGCTCAAGAGGGCTGGAGAAATCCCAGGGTCACCTAGAACACCAGTGGTTATTTTCTGCTTACTCCCCACCCAGATCCACTCCGCACAGTTTTCACTCACTCTGTGTCCCCCCAACGAAGCTGACCCCCGTGAACACCAGCACCTGGGCTTCCTCGCCTTTGGCTTTCGTTCAGCCAATGGGAGGCACCAATGAGCCTCAGAGGGTGGGAGGAGAGAAGAGTTGGGGTGTTTTCCTCACCTACTCCCACGTTGGCAGTGGCTGGGTCTCCCTCCAGCCACATTGCTTCTCAGGACCCTTGGCCCACAACTGCAGCTCTCACTGGTTCCAGGAAACCACTCCTCCTCTCAGGTTTAGGGGATGACAGCTCCCCACTGTTGCCAGCCCAGGAACCACCATCCCCTGTTGATTCCTTCCCCCTCCCCACACACACCTGGGGTAAATCCACGTCCATTAAACTCTTTTCGTTTTTTTATTAATTTTTAATTTTTATTTTATTATTATTATTTTTTGCTTGAAGAAGATTCACCCTGACCTAACATCTATCACCAATCTTCTCTTTCGCATGTGGGTCGCTGCCACAGCATGGCTGCTGACGAGTGCTGTAGGTCCACACCCAGGAATCGAACCTGGGCTGCCAAAGTGGAGCGCGCCGAACTTAACCACTAGGCCATGGGGCCAGCCCTTAAAACTCTTTTCAATAAACACTATTGAGTGGGTCCTCGCTTTCCTGCCAGGCCCCTGCTGGGCACATGATTTCCCATGTGGAAGGAATAAAACATCCACCTTTCCTGCTCCCCTGGTCTCCAGGCCTTTGCACTTGCTGTTTCCTCTGCTTGCTTAAAAATCGTCTCTTCATCAATAAAACAAGCAAATAAGAAACCACATTTTACATGTTTAGCAGTGCTTGGCACTCATTAAGGGTTTAATGAATACTAGCTGATGTTATTGTTGTTGTGTTAAATATGTATAAATTGGCACGGTACTGGAATGGAAATAGAGGGGCTTACTTCAACTTGAAGGCATGGTTTTGATACTGTAATAGGATGTGTCGATTTTAATTACTACTTACCAATACTGAAATATTGGATCTGTGCCAATTATTATTCATCTTCGGTGCATTTCTGCAGTTAATGTTGTCCTTTGTATGTCTGTATTTTTCCAAAGAAGTGTCATGTTGTGGGGTTTCTTATTCATTTTAAGTTGAAATATATTCCAAGATTGCATGAAAGGGGGAAAATGTTTTATCACAATGATATTTTAAAATAATGTATACATGGTTAAAAAGTGAAAGACAGTTATCTCTTCAAAGGGGACTTTCTGGCCACTGTCTAAATCAGGGGCCCCATCATTCTCTCCCACCATCGCAGGTTATGCCTTTCACAGCACTTACCATATTTTGTAATCGTGATCGTTTTTTTCCTTGTTTAAGGTTTGTCTCTCCCACTAAGCTGAGAGCTTGACAAAGGCTTTCAGATCTTGCCTGCTGGTTCCCTGCTGTGTCCCAGTGCAGTGTCGTAGTGAGCAGACACGCTAGGATGCTGTAACAAAGAGGCCCTCAAACACACAGCATGAATAACATAGTTTATTTCTCCCACAGGTGATAGTGCGGGTAGGTGGTCAAGACAGGCATGATGGTTTGAAGGTGTTCTCAAGGCCCCGGGACTCCTCTGACTAGCTCTCTCCTTAGCCACACGGGACATAACTTAAAACCTTCTTACAAAGAGAAATCCCACTCTCTTTGGCCTCAGCTCCCTGATCCAGTCTGCCTGAGACCCTGTTCTCCTAACAGGAGGCTCATCCAACAGGTCTGGCTTCCCAGACCACAGAGCAAGTTCTCTGAGAGGAAGTCGGCCTCTCATGATGACACAAGCCACTGCATGCACCCTCTCATTTGTTATTAAATATTACTTTTTTCCTTCTCTGCTATAGTTTACATCTGTCCACATCCCTGACTTTGTGCAGGTTATTGCACCATTCTGTGCCTCAGTTTCTTCATCTGTAAAATGGGGATAACCATAGTTCACCTCCTAGGGTTGTTATAAGGATTAAATTAGCATAAAGCTTTTAGACTGGAACCTAACACACGGCTAGGTGCTCTTTAAATAATAACCAGCATTATTCTCTCTTGATTCTCCCAACTTCCCCAGAAATGAGGTAGGTGGGAAGGCATCACCTCATTTGGGATGCAGAAATGAAGGACCAGAAAGCTGAAGCAACTTGCCCAGTGCCATGGTGCTGGTGGTGGCCGACATGAACCTCAGTGACCTCGTGATAAAACTGGGGTAATGACAGCACCCCCTCATAGGGTTATGTTGTGAGAACCCAGTGCAATCATGCAAACAAGTGACAGGCACTGTGCAAACGTCTGTGCCCTTGCCCTTCATGGTGCCCCACCCTGTCACAGCAGCGCTCTCAGGGAGCCACCAGGGATCCCAGCTGCCCCGCTCCTGTCAGCCCTCGGGTCAGCTGCTTCCGTTTGGTTGGCCGGGACAGCTGGGCCAGAGAGAGGCCCATTGTCCCTGTCCTCTGGGGCTCTATTGTTGGAGCCTCCTCCCAGGTCCAGCCCAAGACACTCAGCGGTCGCTGGGGCTTGTCTTGGTTCCCGGGGGCGGGGGGAGGGCGGGATGACAGGACAGAGGAGTGTGCACAGCGCGGGTGGGGGACGTAGGCGTGTGCACAGATCCTCGACTGTACCCTGAAGACTGGGTCACCAGCCCGGCTCTACTGAGGAGGAAACTGAGGCTCAGAGAGCCTAAATGACTTGTGCCGGTTGCGCTGGTCTCACGTCAGAGCCGCCAAAGATGGGGGGCGGCCCTGCGCCCCGAAGGGCGCGCGTTCGGCCTCAAGTCAGGGAGGCCACGGACGCCATTAGGGCGGAGACTGCAGGGCCAGAGCACCCGTCACCACCCCCCACTTCACTCGTGGAACCAGAGACCCGCAGGGCGCGGACGCACGCCCAAGGTCACACAGCGAGCCCGCGCAGAGCTGGTCGGGAAACCAGGAGTCCCCAACTCCCAGCCTCGGGAGAGCGGAGGAACGCCGGGCGGCGGCAGCGGTGCACAGAGCAGCCCGCCCCCGGGGCGGGGCGATGCCGCACGTTCCAACCCTCTGTGACGCGCTGTAGTGAACGCTCGCGCGGCCCTCCCCCAGGGGGCGTGGCTTTCCGAGCCAGGCAGGATTCCACTGGGCATTTGTCTGCGGAAGGCGTGACTTCCCGCTTGATGGGCGTTAGGGGCGTGGCTTCTTAGCGCGACGCCATCTCTCTGTGACGCAGGCGCGTGGGCGGCCGGGGTGGAGCCGAGCCTGCTGGAGCTCCGCCCCAGCGGAGGCGGCCGAGGCCGGGGGCGTGTCCTAGGTGGGCCCGAGCCCCGCCCCGCCCCGCCCCGCCTGGTCGCGGAGCGGCGGCCGGCGCAGGGAGGGCCCGGCCCCGGGATGTGAGTGCGGCGGGGTTGGGGGCGCCGAGGGAAGCCCCCGGGGTTCCCAGGGGTCCCCGTGGGCGGGAGCACGAGTGCGCGGGCGGCCGGCCAGGCCCGCCAGGTGCATGTCCAGGTATGGCGGGAGAGGGGGCGCTCGGGCCGCGTGCACCCAGGCGGGCCCCGCGCGCCTGGCCAGTCCCGCGCCACTTCTGTGCGGCCGGAGGAAGCGGCGCCGGTCTCGGGGCACCGACCCGGGCGGGGGCCGGCGACGTGCGCGGGTCTGCCGTCTGCTCAACCCCGGGTCCCACCAGCTGTGCTGAGGCCCCCGCATTGGCAGCAGCTGGAGCCGGGTTTCTGGTCCCCGTGTGGCAGCTGCGGAGGTGTGATGAGGGGGGTGTCAGCAGCGCAGCGGGGATTCGGGTTGGGCCACCGCCTGCGTGAGCCCTGACCTGCTGTTTTTGGGACTGTCACCCTTAGGTCTCACGGAGCGCTTTCTGTGCTCAGCTATTTAGACACATTATCTCAGTCCTCCCAACAGCCACACATTTTACAGTTGAGGAAACTGAGGCCTAGAGCCGCACAGCTGTTGGGTGTAATTGTTATAATGTGGAGGTGAGGCGCTGAGGCCTTGCAGCCAGACACAGCTGGGTGCACATCCGCTGCTCCACAGACCCGCTGTGTGACTTTGGGCACAGCTGGGCCCCTCTCCAAGCCTCTACTGGGATGCTGGTGTCTACCTCCCAGGGCTGCGGTGAGGACTGGATTGGATAGTGCAGGGAAAGAGCCGATGCTCCCTAAGGAGCCGCTGGTATCGTTATTGCTGGTTGCTAGGTGGCCCTTTCTGCAGCTAAGGGAGCTAGTGGTACTGGGTCAGGGCTGTCTGGTGAATCAAAGCTGGCTGGTGGGGAGGGGGAGGCTGCTTTCCACACTGAGGCTGCCCCTATCTGTGTGTCTGTCCCTATGCACATGGAAGGCCACACTCAACTCAACTGTACCAGCATGTGCCGGAGACACGCTGGCCCATTGTGTACTCACCGCGCTACAACATAACCTTCATGGGCCTGGAGAAGCTGCACCCCTTTGACGCGGGAAAATGGGGCAAAGTGATCAGCTTCCTGAAAGGTATGGAAGGCCCCACCTCAGACCCTGTATCTGCTGCCTGCGACCCACCTGCCTCTCCCACGCCCTCCCTGCTGTCTTTCCCTAACACGAGCTTCAGATTCGCCTACCTCCAGTCTCGGTCCTCAGACTGCCTACCACCCATGCTGTCAGAAGGATCTTTCCAACAGACTTCTAAGCATGATATGTCCCTGTCTCAAACCTTCACAGACTCCCCATTGCTGTGGACTTAAGTCCTGTCTCTGCCCCTAGAGGCCCAATAGAAGGTCTCTGCCCCTGGAAGCCCGGTAGAAGGGGAGCTGATTAATGACGGACACAGGGGAGCTGAAGTTTGGAGGAATCTGATGTTCATTTCCCACAAGCTCAGAGAGTCCCGGAGGAAGAGAACCTTTGCTCCAACTCCATTGATTACAAATGGAGAAAGTTGGGGCCCAGAAAGGCTAGGAAACCTGCCCAGAGTCACACAGCTACTAAGTGGCGGAGTGGGGTCTGGAACTAAGAGCTCCAGGCTCCCACCCTTCATGGTTCGTTCCACTGAGCAAGATGATGTTCTGGAGAGAACACTGTTTCTGCTGTGGTTTGTAATCCGGGGGTCTGGTTTAGGTGGGAAATTGAGGTATCACAGTAGGTTAGTGCAAGAATATTCTCATTTCCTGTATCAGGGTTTCTTTAATTGAGGGAAGTAAGAAATATTACCGAAGTGATACCTGACATCTGATGAAGCGTCGAATATCTTTAAATCACACAACCCTTCTGATCATACCATGGAGTAAGTTTCACTTTGGGGCTAGCCGTCTTTATCACCTAAGTAAGCCCATCTCCCTTTTTAACAAATCGAGAATGAGGCTCAGGCTCTGCCCCTTGCAGAAAGTAGAATCAAATTAGAGATTAATGACACAATTTCTGTTGTATTTGTTTTTGATTTTTGGTTAACTTCTATTTATGGCAGTTGGTACTGATTTTCTATTTGCAATAGTGACCAGAGTGAGTATTCAAAGAAAAATATGAAGTAGAAAAGAGTACAGGTGGTGTGCAGCCATGGCGAGAACGTGGTGAGGGGAGTGGAGCCGTCCCGCTTCTCCCCTCGTGGTTCTCTTCCTTCCTGCCTGTGGTCCTTCGTGCTGTTTCCAGCAGACCCAGCCTGAGTCACTCCCCCACTTGCCCCTTCTCAGGCTCCTGTGTTAGTCCAGTTCTCAAGGAACAAGGGTTCCATGTCTCCCTCATCTCTGAGTTCCCTCCCTCCTTTGAGGATGTGGGTGGAAAGGAGGCAGGGGCCACATGGTGAAGGGCCTTGGGTGCCACCAAGAGCTGACCCTTTGCGTGACGGCAGTGGGGAGCCATGGAATGTTCTGGAGTGGGGGGGAAGGAGAGTACCTGCTGTATGTGGAGCTATGTGTAGGAAACATGTGGAACTAGTTGGTTTCTACCGGGGTTTGTTTCTAAGGGTGAGGTAGGTATTAAAACAGGTCCCCTAGATTCTGACTTTGTCCCTCTGATTTCCCTAGAACCCAGAGCATCATGGTCCTGTTCTCACTCTGCCCTAGAGCACTACCTGCTCTTGGCCTCAGTTTCTTCTTTTGCAAAATGGAATGGCTCTTGTCTGGTGTACGTGAGGGGTGATGAAATAATGCAGTTTCCCAAACACCAGTCATTTGCAAACTACTCTTGGGACCTTGCCATCTCCTCATGCTACCTGTTCCATTATTTACTTCATATTTTTTATTGACTTAGCCTCTATTTTAAAAAACTTAAACTTGTTTTGAAATGAAACATTATGTCATCTAAATGGGAAAAGCCAGTTTCACTTACCATAAATAGAAGGTCATGTTAAAAAATAAATGCAATGAAAGCAGTGGGATTCAATTCAGGCTGCTTACTGTTGCCTGCAGACTGTGAGACTGATTGATGCTTTTTTGAGTTAAAAAGGGAGCTGAGCAAGGGTCAGGCAGGTGTGAGAGGCCTCTGACAGAGAGGCCACAGCACACCGAGCCTGCCGTATATAATCAGAAGCTGGAGGGAGAATTGAGAAGAAGAGCTTTTGTCACCAGAGAGTAGCATTATTGACCTGTGTGTCACCCACCTCTGCAAGTTGTCCGGTCACACTGGAGCTCGCCTCATGTCTGCCAGTGGCTTGGGAAACACCAGGATCACTGCGTGCACAATGTCCGATGTCCCTGGCCTAAGGGTCTGGCCCTTGTCCTCCTGGGAGGCGGCCTGTTCTCAGAACGCCCACAAGTCAGCAGTGCCAACCTTCTCCTGGGGCAGGGCTGACAGAGGCCAAGTCTGCAGCGTTTTGGGGGGGGTGGGGCCTGGGGCTGGGCCTGCCCTGAGGTCAGCAGAGTGCCCGCTTTGTGATTTCAGAAGAGAACCTTCTGTCAGACAGCATGCTGGTGGAGGCGAGGGAGGCCTCGGACGAGGACCTGCTGGTGGTGCACACGAGACGCTATCTCAATGAGCTGAAGGTACAGGGCCTCGGGCCTGGGGGGCTGCTGGCTGGGAGGAATAGCCGAAGGAGGGGCAGCTCAGCCTGGGGAGGCACAGCCTCACGGGGCTCCATTGCTGTCCCAGGGCAGGGGGCCATGTGAGTCTGTGGTCCTCAAGAGGAGAGAGGTCATAAAGAGGGCAGACGCCGGGACGGGCTAGGCTGCTCCAGGGGCAGTGAGCTCCCCGTCCCTCGCAGTATGAAAGCAAGGGTGTCCACTTGGTGGAGATTGAACCTTCGTAAAGGTTTTGGGCCTTTACATTAGTGACTTTCAATCTGTGCTTTGTGGACAGGCCTCAAAGACCCCTGCTGGGAGGATGGGTGAGGAGACCCCAGCCCCTTGTGCCCATCCAACCGAAGCTGTTCCACTTTGGTCTATTTTTATATTGGGCTTAAGTTGAAGATTGTATTCTAAGGACTTCTACTGCTAAAGACTTGTCGAAAACTGTTGGGCTAAAAACTAGTTTGGATCTCCCCTGGGGAGATCCAGGTAGATGACTACCTACATGAGCAGGTAGTCAGGCAGGTGGTGATGGTTTCTGGGGCAGCCTGGAGGCTCCTGCTCTTCCCAAGTGGGCGACTGCTCCTCAGCTCCCCTGTGGGCTCAGCGTGGCCAGAGTGCCTGGCATTCAAAGAGAAGCCAGAATTCCAGATTATTAAGTGGCAGTTCCTGATTTCTTATTGTGACACCTTGTGTGGGTGGGGTGACCTCTTTCTAGAGGAGCCCACGGAGCCCATGTCAGTGGCTGAGGTTCTGAGGGCAGAGGCATTCAGTCAAGCCCCATGTGTGGGCAGAGAGGAGGCTGGACTGGGGGGTCGCATCAGAACCTGGTGCTGCCAGCCTGCCCGGGTGGGGTCAGGATGCCACAGGTTCTCTGCCCCGAGGAGTGTGGGAACCCTGACCCCTGACCCCCAGCCTTCCCAACTGGACTCCTCTTAGACTCAGAGCCGTAGTGGATGCCAGAGGTCACCAGGTGGAAAGGCCTTGGCCCAGTAGGAGGCCCCACCTGCTCAGGTTACCGGGATGTCCTGCAGGTGTGCAAGAGACCCCAGGCAGGGAGTCCCATCCGGTCTCCCAGGTTCCTGATCACAGCTGCTGCCTGCCCTCTACCCTGACTCTCCCTGAGCTGCGGGCATTCTAGATGGAGCCGTGAGTGTGAACTCGGGAAGGATTACGAGGAAGAGGTTGAAAGCTGGCTCCTGGCAGAGGGAGGTGTGCGAGGCCTTGGCAGGGAGCCCATCACTTGGCTGCCCTGGTTTCCTGGGGCCCGGACGTGTGTGGTCACAGTCCACAGCCCGGGGGCTGGGCCTGGAGAACATGCCTTCCAGAAGGTGAGGGTGGGGGGCAGGGAGGGACAGAACAGAGTGGGGCCAGTGTGGAGTGAGTGTGCCATGATAAGGCTTGAGCTCTGGAGCCCTGCCCATTTGATGGGCTTTCCGGGAACTGTGCAGGGCTGACTGCATGCCTGGCCTTGGGCCCCCAGAAGCCTAAAGGCAGCTTACTATGTGATAAATAATAATAAAAAAAGTATTAATAGGTAGAGTCCCAAGTAGAAAATTAAGGTAAAGGGCGGGAGGAGAATTCAGATATGCCAGCTGGAAGCATTAACCAAGATGCTATGATTGAGCTGCATATTTGGCGTGGAGCTTCCTGGCAGCCAGAACAAAAGGAGAAACACGATGATTTCCATAGCACCTACTACGGTGAAGAAGTGTTCAGTCATTCAACACATCTGTATCGAATACTGACTGTGTATTGGGTACAAAAAGACTAAGCAAACTTCGCTGCTCCCGTGGATTTGTGTTTTCGTTTTGAAAGACTGAAAATAAAGAAGTAACCACACAAGAGCATTTCAGAGAGTGCCAAGAGTTATGAAGGAAAAAATTAGAGGGTAACTGGGTGAAGCTTTGCTCTTTTAGACTGGGTGGTCAGGGAGGGCCTCACAGAGGAGGTGAGGTTTGCACTGAGATGAAAGAATGAAGAACAGGTGACACTCGTGTGGAGCTTTGAAGGAAGAATGTTCCAGAATCACAGGCCCGGAGGAGGAGGGGCCTTGGCTTCCCGAAGGGAGAAGGATGCTTGAGTGGCCAGGTGGAAGGGAATACAGCGCTGAGGTGGCACGTGAGGTGGTCCGGGAGGCCAGCAGCGCCAGGCCACACAGGGTCTTGCAGGCCGTGGGAGGAGTCTGGGTTTGCTTCCAGGCACCACGGAAGAGCAGTGTGGTGTGATGGGCCCTCGATGCTCAGACGAGACCCACGTACATTTCAGGCATTGTCTGACATCTGGGGGTGCAGCTCAGGAACGTTCCCCTTGCCCCCAGGTGTCTGCAACACTGCCTTTCTCCTTGCTCTGCTGTGGGCACCCGGAGCAGTGCCCCGGAGAGTCCCCGCGGGTGTCCGGGGCTGCTTTCCCTTGGCTGTTGCGTGTGTGCTGTGGAACACCCACCCTCTCCCCTGCCCCCACCCCTGTTCCGGGGCTCATGCCAGGCCCTGCGCTGCTGTGGCCTTCGATGCTCGATAAGCAAGGCACTGAAAGAGATGCAGTAGCCTGATGTTTGCCGAATGGTGTCAGTTCAGGGAAACAAATGTTTATTGAGCACCTACTGCATGCGAGGCCCAGGGTCGGCTCCACTGAGGTGGCAGTTGGGTTGCACCAGCACCGGGCTCTTGCCTCCTGCTGACCCTGGTGACAGTTTGCCATGGGGTGCGGGGCGGTGCGCTGCAGATCTGACCTCTTGTCCTTGTGCACCCTGAGCTGGGCGGTGCTTGCGACACGTGTATCCAGCAAGCATTTAGCGAGCACCACGCTCTGCCTAGGTACGGGGGAGACAGGATGGAACAAAGGAGACCGAGTCCCTCTCCTGATGGAGCTGGCGTTTAGGTGTGGGGTCAGCCAGTAGACATAATCAAGTTAGTGATGTGGTGTATCAGAAGGTGCTTGGTGCCGTGGGGAAAGGGCAGCAGGAGAGAGGTGGGGAGGCCTGCAGCTTGAAACAGGGAGGTCAGGGAAGGGCTTACTGACTGTGCTCCCCAGCTGAGGGCAGTGAGGGAGTGGGCTGTGTGGGCCTCTGGAGGAGGGTATTCCAAGCAGAAGGAATGGCAAGTGCAAAGACCCTGAGGCAGGAATTGCTCCACTGTGTGCCAGTAACAGTGAGGAAGCCAGTGTGGCTGGCTCAGAGGGAAGGGGAGGGAGGCAGGTAAGAAGTGGGGTCAGAACATGATCAGGGGCCAGACCACACAGGGCCTTGTGTGCTGCTGTGGCTTTGCTCTGAGGGAGGTGGGAGCCAAGGAGTGTTTAAGCAGAGGAACATGATCTGATCTGGGTTCTAAGAGGGTTGCTTGGCAGCTGTGATGAGAATAGATGAGAATAGGCTCAAGACGAAAGCAGGGAGACCAGTGAGGAAGGAGGTTGTTGCGCTAATCCTGGTGAGAGATCCTGGGCCTTCGGACTAGGCTGGCAGCAGTGGCTGTGGACTGGGGGAAGTGGTAGGATTCGGATTTGTTATGAAGTTGAGACGAAAGATTTCCTGTTGTTCAGATTGGGTATGCGAGAGAGAGAAGCCAAGGACACCTCAGAAGTTTTGGCCTGGGGCCCAGGAAGTCTGGGCACGAATTCAGCCTTGTCACAGCCCTCACAGCCCTCGGAGTGCTGTGGGAGAGAGGGAGACACAGACTCAGCCCCCAGAGCCGCCAGAGGGAGGGCGGAAGTCTCTGGGGGAATGGGCCCCCTGGGGTCTGATTCCCTCTCCGTTAGTTATCTCGTCTTCCCTGAGGGGGGCCTTCTCTCCCTTTTTTTATCGTGGTAAAGTTCACATAACATAAAATTAACCATTAACCATTTTAATTTTTTTAAAATTTTATTTATTTATTTTTCCCCCAAAGCCCCAGTAGATAGTTGTATGTCATAGTTGCACATCCTTCTAGTTGCTGTATGTGGGACGCGGCCTCAGCATGGCTGGAGAAGTGGTGCGTCGGTGCGCGCCCGGGATCCGAACCCGGGCCGCCAGCAGCGGAGCGCGCACACTTAACCGCTAAGCCACGGGGCCAGCCCCATTAACCATTTTATTTATTCATTTTTTTTCCCCCCAAAGCCCCAGTAGACAGTTGTATGTCATAGGTTCACATCCCTCTAGCTGCTGTACGTGGGACTCAGCCTCGCGTTGGACGGAGAAGCGGTGCCCTGGGGCGCGCCCGGGATCCGAACCCGGGCCGCCAGCATCAGAGCGCGTGCACTTAACCGCTAAGCCACGGAGCCGGCCCTCCATTAACCATTTTAAAATGTAAAATTCAGTGGCATTTAGTACATTTACGATATGGTGCAACCACCACCTCTATGTAGTTCCAAAACATTTTCATCACCCCCAGAGGAAACCCCGTGCCCGCTAAGCAGTTGCTTCCCATTCCTCCCTCCGTGTCTGCCCCTGCTAAGCGCCAATCTGTGTCTCTATAGGTTTGCCTGTTCTGGATGTTTCATGTACATGGAATCCTATGATATGTGACCTTTTGGGTTTGGCTGCTTTCACCAAGATAGCATAGTGTTTTCAAGAATCATCCACCATGTAGCGTGTATTTGCAATTCATTCCTTATTATGGCTGAATAATATTCCATTGCGTGGATAGACCACATTCTGTGTATCCATTCATCCGTTGGTGGACAGCTGAGTTGTTTCCAGCTTTGCGCCTCTGTACGTAGTGTGTTATGAACATTCATGTACAGGTATGTGGTTGAGTTCCTGTTTTCACTTGTTTTGGTTATATACCTAGGAGTGGAGTTGCTGGGTCATGTAATAATTGTTTAACTTTTGGAGGAACCACCCAAGAGATTCCCACAGCAGCTGCACATTTTACACTCCTAACAACTGTGTGCAAGGGTTCCACTTTCTCTACATCCTCACCAGCACTTGTTATTTTCTGTTTTTTTGATGGTGTTTAATTTAGTGGGTGTGAAGTGGTGTCTCGTTGTGGTTGTGATTGCATTTC